ATGTCGAGCCTTGGGGGCGCATTCTAACCCTATAGCCCCCCTTAAGTAGATAGAATATGGCTTTGGGTATATATTATAATAAGATCCCCATATACCCTATATTCTATCTACTTAAGGGGGATTGTAAGCCTTAAGAATACCCTCATTAGGTCCTGCAGGGTTTTGAATATCGACAGTAGTAATGGCCTATGGAGGTTAGTTGGAGCATCTTGGACCCTACTGCGTCCCGAGCCTAGATACAGGGTTACAAACACTTTCAAAGACACATCCTGAGTATCCGCTGCTTGCGCGCAGCTGGTTGAGAGACAAGTCTATTCAGTGCGAATGTCTACGAAGTCCATCGCTTGGTAGGATTGAACCTGTTTTGACAAACCAAAAACTATTGCAACACAGATTCACAAAGACGCACCTGCCGCTACAGTGTAAATGGAGTCCATAGAAAGCTGCGGGAGGTCACCCGATTGTAGTTTTGCCCCGCTACTGGAACTCTGGCTTTGGTGCCAGGCGTATCCAGATACATGCCCGTGCAGCTGGACAAAGTTGCCGAAGCTGGATGAGAACGGTTGCCCCCGCCCCCAACCCTAAAACCTTAAAACCCTAAACCCTAAAACCCTAAACCCTAACCCTTATTCCTCCAAACTGACGGTCGCGGCTAGTGCAACCTGACGGTCCCCGCAAATCGCGACCCACCCGTCGTCCAATCAAACCCTTGCGCCCTACGCACCCTTCCTGATAAGAGATGAAGACCTCTAAGGGTCCAAGTACCCAATAATTAGGTCCACTTGAAGGGATCTATAGGGGTATATAGGGATATTTAGGGTTTAGGGTTTAGGGTCCAAGTACCCAATAATTAGGTACTTGGGATTTGGGCAATAATAATTACAGTATAGGTTTTGGGTAAGTACATGATTATCAGGTACTTGGACCCTTAGGGGACTATTCTGAAACGTTGCAGATGTTATTCGCGGTCGTGCGCGTGCATCTACTACAGCTGACGCATTACACTCACTACGCGCCCTCTGCTAGTCCTGCCAAATCCTGTGAGGAATCAGGACACTCCTCCAATCCAAATGCTGGTATCCCGATAAGGATAAGGAAATCGAATTCGACTATTATTGCTTACTGTTCTCATTAGCATTCTCATTACTATTATACTCCCCCCAAGTACATAGCTCGTTGCTTTAACTTCCTGCAGCCCAGCCACTGACCTTGAATCTTGCGCTCTGCATTCCAGACCTTTCAGACTTGAAGTTCATCATATCATTGTAGTATAATCTAGTATATTATTGTAGTATATCACTGTATGTCATTGTAGTATATTATTGCAATATTATTTTGGGTAATAAGTGCTGTGTCTTGGCCACGACGGGAAGCAGCACTATGTGCTTGTTCGAGCATGCTCATTGGCACTGTTATGGTCAGTGCAGTCATCAGTATCGCTGTTGACCATCTGTATGCGAAAGAGCAGAGACCACGGCAATAGCCTTCTTTTTCAACTAGACAGATGGCAGACACCTGCCAGACTGTAGACACCACCCTAATGCCAAACTAAAACAAATCCAGAAATCCAAAAACCCAGCCCCTTGTGCAGTCCAGGAAACGGTTTCACCGTGCCTCAGAGCACAGATGCTTTGGCACTCTCTGTTCGGGATCGCATGAGACATGGGGGACCAAGAAACACCTCTATCCATTGTAATGTCACAAGCAATGTTGAAAACAAAGTTCCTGGAAGCCTGGAATATGAGAGAGAGAGAGAGAGAGAGATATATATATATATATAAATACCTTATATAATCGTTTCCATTTTCTTTTCCCAATATAACCCTAATATAACCCCAATATAACCCCTATATACTCCTATATAAACCCCTATATGCTAGTAGTCTCCATTTTCTTTTCCATTATCCCTATATTACCCTAATTAGAATGAAAGGGCATCCCGCATCCGCCAGGCACGGCCGCGGCCTACTTTGGCAAATTGTGCAGGGCCTCCGGATTTAGGGTTTTGGGTTATATAGGGGTTATATTGGGATAATGGAAAAGAAAATGGAAACTACCATATTATAATAGGGGTTTAGGGTGCTACTCCCTTGTGTTCTGAGGTCCATGCCGGATGATGTAGAGCCTGGCAGAATCACAATAGTCAAGCTATGACGCAGCCACGGCACCAGGTTATGGGGAATGTCGATGCTATTCTTGACGACAGCTGCTACTGCTGCTGGCAACAAGAACTTCTGAAAATGGCCCCTATGGAATCCTGAATAGGTTTAACGGGCCACCTAGTTTGAGAAAACTCCATATAAAGCAGTCTCAAGCAAAAGGCGATGCTGCTTGCTAAAGCCTGTCGCGCTAACTTGCTGAAAAGTACTGCGGGCCAGCGCGGAATGGGAGCTGGATCTGGTGGTCCATGGTAATCCTTATCCCCCATAAATTGTGCCCATGTTCCATTTCCTCATTCCATGTGCTCGCAGTTGTACTTTACTTTTACAACTATTACTATCACCATTACTAGTAACCACCAGTAAGTACAAATAATGATGGGGTCTTGACACTGCCAGTTCAGGCATATGTTGGGAGGATCCCCCCCACCCTTTCGTACTGGTATAATAGGGCCCTAACATAATCCATATTACCCTTTATAGTCACGATTACACTGAGGGCAAGGGTCATGCCCTTCGCTTGGAACTGCCTGGTTTGCTTCTTGGAGGCGCAGCAGAGCTGCGACACAGCGGCAAGGCACTCCATGGCAATGGGAATCTACTCGCAGCCCCCAACCCTAAACCCTAAACCGAAACATGAAGCAAGTTTGAAACGATAGCTAGTGTATATATCTAGAACTCAGGAGCCTCAAAGAGTGGCCTCCATATGCATGATACTTCATACATGACCATCTTTTGAGCAGACTCCTGTTCTCGAGAACCTTGTGTGAAGGGCGCAGATATCATGCTGAGGCTGCTTCTACCAGGTCTTTACATCAAAAGTAACCTCAACTGGATCCAGTGTCCAGGGTTCAGGCCGGCCAACCTCAATTGAGAAGAGACCCCAAGACATTTGGGTTGTTCTCAAAATTATTGGCCCCTTTTAACTGTAGCTTATATTACGGCACCAACTTTTGAGGGGCACCAGAATGGGACCCTAATTTTGGGAACTACCCATTTTCATAGGTGAAGCTGCATGCCCTGCGCATGGCGTGGATGGCTATCAAGTACGACATATATGAAGGTCCAGTCGACACACGGAGAGATGTGATGTGGTTCTGCCAAGCCCTGTACCACTTTGACACAAACTTCCGCTTCAGGGAGACTTGCCACATAGCTTACTAAAAACAACCCTCGACTGATGTGGCGGATGGATGCATTGTAAAAGAAATCAACATGTTGATGCCGTTCAACGCTAGTAAAGGGATGATTTGCGCCTGCGATGCAAGCGCACGAGTCTTGAATAGGTTCTTTGGTCTGCAGCAGCTCTTGAAGTTTGATGTTGTCACCACCGCACCAAAGGGGTCCCTAATTTAGAAACCCCATATCCTGATATCCCTGTATGCCCCTGTAAATCCCGGCACAGCCCTCTGTAGCCCCCAACATCCCCTATGATCTATAGTCTAAACTCCTAGTATCCCCCTTTATAACCCCTACAATTCTCCCCTCTATAAGCCCCCCTTTAAGGAGCTTAGACCCTAGACCCTTAAGGAGTTTAGACTATAGTTCGTACGGGCTGTTCTCAAAATTATGGCCCCCTTTCTGGTTCTGGATTATATTAGGGCACCTCATATTCGGGGTTACTAAAATGGGACCCTCATTCTGGGAACTACCCATATGATCATGAGCAGGTTGAGCGCCAAGCTGAGGAGCTTCGCCATGAGTCGCATCTCAGGCTCATCAGGCCTTGCTTCCATGGTCATGGAATTCAAAAGGTTTACGGTTTAGGGTTCAGGGTTTAGGGCTTTAATTCAAAAAGCTTAGCCCTAAACCTTGCAACTTATGGGTTGTATGGAGGGTTTAAAGCTTTAGTTGGGTTAGGGTTTAGATGGCTTTAGGATTGAAGGGAAATAGAGTTTCAGGGTTCTGGATGCCAATCCAGTAAAAAAGTGTCGGGGTGCTAA